TAACATTTATCTCTGTAAAAATATGTTTTGGAAAGCTTTTACTTGAAAGAAACAGTTAAATATAACTTTTTCATTTCAGCTTTCTAGGTAGTAAATATTTTGTTTTATGGATGCTGTAGTTTAAGACATTTGAGAATGTTAATGGCCTTGTTCCACTTATTTCTCTAACAGTTATTCTATGAAATAAATACTATGAAAGGAAAGAACCCCCTTCTTCATTCTACTCTCTTATTACCTTGTTTTGTTAATTTTTTTCATCATACTTACTGCCACTGAATTTTTTCCATATAAATATCCCTATCTGTTGTCTGTCTTCCTTGGACATGTAAGCCCCATGAGAGTGGGAACTTTCTCTTATTCATCATGTCAGAAAGGAAAAATTTTTTTCTCGGCTCTCTTAAATTTTAGTGTTTGAGGGCATGAGAATTAAACTGACAAAAGACAGATGAGTGAGTGAAAAAACATTTTAATTACATATGTGTGTATTGTAGTTCACAAAGAAATTTCTCAAAGAGGTACTTAGAATTTGGGGATAATATGCTGTCAATAGGTGAAGAGGAGGTTGGGGAGGCATTTAGGAATTTAGAAGAGGAAGAAGAAAGGGCATTTAGTGGGGGAAAATGACTTTTCGGAAAGATAAGTGAGTCCTCAGGAAAACAGATGGGAAATACAATGGTTTTACTATTTGTCTGTTTGGGGATCATGCTAATGAGTTGCTCCCAGGGAAGGGATTTATGACAATTGAGTCTTTTTTAATTCTTTTGGGAGACTCTGCTTTAGGCAGATGAGGAATTCCAGGAACTCAGATGACTTCAGCTCAAAATAGTTTTTATGCCACAGTGGCATATTATGGAACCCCTTCAACCACAGTATTCCCCATACCTAGAACCGTGCCTGCTAACATGGTAGGCACTTAAATATTTGTTTATTCTTTTTTGGTAGCTTTGGAGCAACCTTTGACAATTTTGTTGTCAGGTAATCCAGCCTGGGGTGATATCCCTGCATTCTAGGTGAAACCTCAACCCTGGAAAGGGTTCTTGACTCTGATTGGGAAAGAATTCATGAGCAGGTCAAGCAGGTACAAGCAAAGAGTAGTTTAGTAAAGCAAAGTACACACTCAAGGAGGGAGTGTGAGTATGGTCCAGAGGTGAGCAGCACAGTGGAGTTTGAGTTGGATGGTCTTATGGCTAAAGTTTAAGTAGGAGGTGGACTCTTCACTAGGATAAGTGGAGTTTCCTTAGAATAGGGAGGAGATGCCTGGGAAATAGGATGATGCCTTCTTTTTGTCCTTAGATGGTCTGCCTCAGAACTGTCACATGCCAAGGGGTGGGATTTTTAGTATGCTAATGAGCATATAATGTATTTGGAGGTGAAGTCTCAGTGTTGGAACCAGCCAGATTTGGCAGGTCTGTTATCTGTTACCTCCTCACATCCCTGGAGAACAGTTTGTTTAGAATGTAAAAAAGCATCTCACCAAATGTAAACACTGGCCAAAGTCCCCAATCCCCCCCTGCTCATGTCTTGTTGTCCACCTACTATATAACAAAACGACGAAATTCAGCTATCATGAAAAATTATGTGCCTTTTCAGTGACAAATATGACAGAAGTTGGAGTTTGAGATCACTTTTTGATTACTGAGACCCTGTTACTTAAATACTAGTTGGAGATTCTGATTTTGCTCAGTATAGAGCGTAATTTGTTGTTGATTCATGTTCTGTAAGAGAAATAACTTTTTTACACCTTATATTGTAATATGTAACTAAACCAATATTGTACAATCTATCACTTTTTCTGTGACCACTGTTTCCAAGTGATTTATCAGTCTGTTTCTCTCTTTGCACCATCATATCATTTCTTACCCTTATTTTCTTTAAACTAAAAAATTTGGAACACTTTCCAAAAGATGGCTTCTACTATATATTCAGGTCTTTGGAGCATCTTTAGAGTTTGTTGCTATTACAGAAAGATCCTCAACAGACAATCACGTTGAATACTTACTTTACTTTACACTGCTAGTTACTAAGGGCTCATTTAAGTGTCCATAACTTGTCTTAGAAGTGAGGAGGATTGTTTCCCTGCCTACTTAGGGGCATCATCTCTTTTCTCTTCCCCATGTTACTACCTTCTCTTTTCACTGCCTTTATGCTATCATAGCTTTTGGACTTTCTGCTTTTCTTCCTTTCTTTGCATTTGTTATTTCAGTGTTAGCTTACTTTTACTTTGTCCCCATCTTTGGGTTTCTCTTCTATCCTCTTGTATCCTCTTTTTTCTTTACCTTTTTGCCCTTCTTCTCACTTTGGATACCTCTCTTTCTCTTCTCCCATTTTCTCCTCCCCACACTAAGCCAATCTTTCTATTTTCTAACTTGTCCTAACTGGACATGTTGTAGAACTTAGTGTTTTCAACATTAATTCTATTTAGTGAATGCATTAATTGATTGTTTCTTTTTTTTTTTCTATGTAGAAAGAAGCTAAGTTGTATGTGGTTCTCGACTGAATTTTTTCTGTGATTCAGTACTACTCAATAGAAAAAAGATAGTGTACCCAATTCTGAGTGCATTCATAGGCTGGACAGTTGAGGCAAATGACAAGAAGTTGTGTTGGGTAGCCACATTGGCTGGTCCAGTTTTAAAGATTCACCTTAAGGAACCCATGAGAAAAAAGTCAATTTATGTACAGTTTAAGTGATTTTATTCTGCAACTTAGTGATCTGTGAACTTGATGTAAATGTAGATTTTATTCTGTCATTGTTACCTACCTGCTGTTAGTAGTTCCACTGAGTTTGCACTTATAATGGGATGATTTCCTTTTGACTTTTAGTGATACTGAGTATATCACCAAAACTTATTTAGGATATGTGATGACAGGTTGAATAACAGCAAGGCAATTTCAATACTTATCTTTCAAAATTATCAAGAATCAATTCATATAGTCTAGTTTTATTACTCAAAACCCAGCTAAATGGGCCTATAGTTTTGTTTAATTGGTATAATAAACTAGGGAATTTAGCTGAGGATTCAGGATTGAAATAGATTGTTTTATTTGTTTTTTTAGTAATTTACAATTATTCTATGCTCTTTGTTTTCTGCTAAAATCTTATTTAATTTACCTACTTCCATTTCATTGCATACCAAGAACTCAGAATTAGTATTAATTTTCAGTAATGGCTTTTCTTAAGGTGATGTGATTATTCAGTATTTATATTGTATTCTCCTATTCTTTGTGTTCATCACAGTCCAACTCTTCAAAGCAATGCAATGAAATAACCTTTCTGGATAGAAAGAGTTACTCTGCTGAACATCTTATTTATCCAAGATCCCAAAGAAATAGAGATCTATTAAAAATTAACAATGAAATTATTTAAAAAATTTTTAAATTAAATTATTAAAAATCTGTTAGACACTAGTAGTAATTTTTTAAATTTAATATACTCTGGTTCATGTTTCTGTTCTCACTGCCTTATTTCATTTAAGAGAAAGACATTTAAAATTTACTTGTTTTTTTTCTTTTTTCAGGCAAAAGGCAGGATTGTGATAATGCCAGGTATTTAATTATCTATCCATTTGTTAGTCTAACACTGAACTGTAGTGAAGGAAGAACAAAGGAGGCAGGACAATATAGGATAAATTATCGATATATGGTATTTGCACAGAAGAATATATAATTTGATTAAAATGTTTAGGATTGGGAGATATGTGCTGAATTTAAAACTTAAAAGAGGAGAACATTCTAGCAGGAATTTGCTCAGAGAGTGGCAGATAAGGAAGTAAATTGGGATTGGGGTTTCTACATGTTTGCTCTCCCATAGTACAGAATTTTGTGAGTATGGATGTCCATCTCTGGTGAGGCACACCAAGTTTGATGTCCCTATACTGTGTTAGGTTCAAAATATCTTAATTGTCAAGAAGGTATAAACAAACATTTAGGTAACATCCCTGGATTAATATTAATAATATTCTCTCAGTTCCTGAAAATCTCTGATTTCAAAATTCTTCCTTTGAGCCAGAACAATTAGATCATATGCTCCTGATAATGACCATAAGATCAACTAGGTATATAATGGCTCATTAGAGATGAAAAGTTTTTAAAGGATTAGATAAGGTGATCTAGAATCAGAGTGAGATAAATATAAAGACAGTCTTAATTTTTTCTTACTATTAAATTTCTTAAACATATAAAAAAGTAGAAAAGTGCATAATGGATACTCATATATTGATTCCCTAGATTTAATATTTTGCCACATATGTCTCATCTATTTTTATCCTGAGGTATTATAGTTAAAGGCATCATTACATTTTATCTTTATGCATATCTAAAAGAAATCTGTGTTCTTTCTACTTCCTAGGGTTTAGTGATATTACTCTACCAGTAAGAAAAAATACAAAGTTAATGTCTGAAAGTATGTAAAGTTAGTTCAGCAACTTGAATAGCTTGAGATACAAAGTACATATTTTATCAGTCATTGAAACATTTTATTTACTACATTCTATATATTAGGAGAAAAGGACATAAAGATGAATGAACTAATTTTATATTTTAACCTGGTATCACTTTAGAATATAATTCTTTATAAATAGATATTTGAGTGTTCATCACAACAATTGAGACATTATAAAGTACTTGGTTGTATAGTTTTAATAAAGTATAATCAGATTCTTCTGTGAAATGAAACAAAAAGTTGATATTATAATGCATAAACTGTATAATACCTTGCATTATTGCCATTTCCAACTAAGTTAGTGTGGTCTTCAAATCTTGGGCCAGAGAGAGAACTTGTCTCTGAGAGACACCTCTCTGAGGCCATGCTTTTGTAGCTTCATCCTCAAGCCTGTCCTTACCTTTCATTTTAATTTGATTTTGCTTTAATTGAGAAGGAGTAGGGATAGAACACTCACATGATTTTTCTTGCCCTAGAGTAATCATTTTAGATCTAAAGTCAGTAAAGGGTAGCATTGTTATAAACCAACGATATATAAGATTCCATAATATAGGTTCTATGGCATTGTCAGTTGTTCTCCAGAGTCCATATTCTATGTCTTTTATCGTTCTTTTCTGATGTCATTCTAGTTTAGTAAAGAGAAAGTAATTCTTGAGTCAATGAGAAATTTCAGTCTGGGAATTCCAAGTAGGGTGAGCAGTCATTATTGTTCATTAAGTTTTATGCAAAATTCTTGTATTATTTTTTTCTTGTATTATGTATTACCTTGTGTTACATAAAATTCTATGTGTTGTTTTCCCAACAGGGGGTGGTATAACGGATAGAAATCTACAAAGGATCCTTGAGGGTTCAGGTGCTACAGAATTCCACTGTTCTGCTCGGTCTGCTAGAGATTCAGGAATGAAATTCCGGTAAAAAAGTGTTCCTTCACCCATAAAAGAAGGGATGAGATTAATTTTTGCTTCCCCAAATAGGAAAACCTTATTTGGCTAATGAATGGAATGTTGTAATTAGAACATAAATATTGCATAAATCTTTCAACTGCAAAGTGGTTCTTATCATGCTTTAAATAAACAGGCTTTTCTGAACATAGGTGAGTCTTTATCCTTAAGTCACTGCTGAACTTAGATCATTTAATAATGAACTTTAATTCAGCAGCTAAGCTTCAAATGAGTCAGATATGTGTATGTGTCCATTTACCTGTAATTTCCTTTAACAAAGTAAGTAACTATGGTGTAAAGATAAGAGTCATAGTCATTTTTATCCCTTCTACCTTTAATACGTAGTCGGTCTTCCCTTACCTTTGCTCCCTATTTTCAGTTATTTTGAAATCATGCCACCATTAAGGAATTCAAACCATTCAGTATTTATTTTTTATTTTTTATACTTGAGAGGGCTTCTGTAATTTAACAGTTAGTAGTTGATTATTTATAAATTGGAGGAAATGACAAGTAAAAGAAGCAAGAGCCTTAGAACTTAAATTTCTAAACATAAAATCAAATATACTATTTGGTAGATTTGGTTACTAGATGTTTCAAGTAATTAATAAATACAAATTATAAAATATAGTAGACCAAGATCCTTGACTTACCCTTGTTCTTGAGCCATGAAATAGCTTATAAAATGAAGTGCCAGTAGGAAGGCTCCTTAAACAACCTGTATAATTATCTGTTCCTTTATTATTTCTATTGCAGAAATTCCTCCGTTGCCATGGGAGCATCTCTTTCTAGCTCAGAGTATTCTCTAAAGGTAACAGATGTGACCCAAGTAAGGACTTTGAGTGCTATTGCAAAGAATATTCTGGTTTAGCCCTCTCTGAGAGACATGGGTATCACAGGATATCCATGGTAGAAGAATAGTCTACAATTCTCTGTGACACAGCTCTAATCTTCTGCTCTGGCCAGGATAATCACAGCCTTGAAGTCTCACATGGCTATGGAGAATGTTTCCATGAAGAAAAAGAACTTGAACAGAGCTACAGTCATTTCCTTTGCTTAATTTTGCCAACTGTCTCCATCATCATGGTCCAATCTGATCTATGCTTCTTCCACAGTCAAGAGATTTAGTCTGTTTTCAGTGGAATTAATTGATGAACTGGGAGAATTCGACTGTAAGGTATGAGTTGAGAATGTGACTTCAGGGTCAATTCAGCAGCAGTATTTTGCTTTTTCATCTGTAAAATAAAAATTTCCATTTCAGTATGGCAGAGTCTCTTATTCTGAATACAATCTGTAGCCACATGTAAAAGGGAAGATTTTATTTTGTTTTTTTCCTTCATTTTCTTTTTTTTAGTTTATTATGTTGCCCTGGGCTAGATGCTAAAGATACAGAGTAAAAATTAGCTGGATGCAGCATAAAAATTCCCAGACTTGGAAAGCAGGATGTAAAAGTTCCCAGACTTTTAGAGGCAAAAGTGATGTCTGGTGTTCACCAGGTTACTTCTACCTCTGTTCCCAGATAAAGAAGTGGCTTAACCGGAAGGGTCATCTTAATTTACAAAGACCTGTAGTAAGAATTGGGGAGAATAGGGAAGTTTATCAAAATAGCTATTTCTTTCAACCAAGGCCACAGATAGAGTGGATTCTAGTGATAAAAGCTGTTTTCCTATGAGCAGATCACTAGCTTTATATTTCATATAGCTGTTTCACATTTATTTTCATATTTATATTCTCATTTTCAAATTTATAATCTCATATTTATAATCTCATTTTATACTAACAACATACTAGTAATAGAACTGTTGTTTCTTTTTTAGGAGAGTAACTGAAGCATAATATAAAGAGCTTGCCTTTGGTCAGAAAGCTATTTGTAGCCTCTGTGAATCGTATGCACAGATCTGGGTACTAGTGAATGTATATAGCAAGAGCTTTGCCTTTATTTAAATGTGTCATTTCCCTCACCTTTAAATCTTAATTTCTTTCCTCACTTTTTCAGGTACAATTTCAAAGTAGAATATTTGCTAGGGAGTTTATGAAAAAGGAGAGACAGACTAAAAAACAATAACCTCAGTGGTTTCTTTTCTTACTTGTTCAGATTATTACTAAGATAATAAATACTTCAAAAAATAGTTTTCATCATTGGCTTTGGGACATAGATACAGATATGTAAGTATCACATACACATGCACACATAATCCTGTTTAGTAATTTGACCTAACCCTCCCCACGCTTGGACTTCACTGTAGATCTTCAGAGACAAGAGCAGTCCATGTTATCATTATGTTATTTAAACAGATTAGCTAGGGGTCTGAGAAGTGGTATGAATTGCTCAAAGTTTAGTAACAAGGTTGTTCATGAGATTTGAATTCTAGGCTACTAACCTCCAAGTCTTCTGCTTTAAGGTGCTGCTGGTATGTGGTTATGGTACAGATAGCAATATTCCTGGGCAAACCAGACATACCTGGGGTATTCTGGCTCCCAATATAAGTGTAAGAAATTTTTATTTTATTTTTTTTTGTTAAGGTATCACTGATACACTCTTATGAAGGTTTCACATGAAAACATTGTGGTTACTACATTCACTCATATTATCAAGTCCCCCCCATACCCCATTGAAGTCACTGTCCATCAGCGTAGTAAGAAAGCATGAGAAATTTAATTCCTTGAACTTCAATTGTCTCATTTCAAATCAGGAATAATAACTAAACCATGGTTTCTAGTTAAATGATAGATTAAAGCACCAAGTATATAGTAACTACCCATTAAATGTTAATTCTTTTGTTCTAGTTTAGTTTTCCAGTATTAGTCTTTGATAATTTAAAAGCCCTTTCCAGGAGGCCAGGCATTGAGTATTGAAGCCAACACTTGCATGAATATAAAAGAAGCAAAAGTAATCCCTACCTTGATTTTATTTTTCTACACTTTAGTCATGTTTTGAAATATTTACTGATGATTTCATATGTATTAAGTTTCTTCTCAATAATATTACAAGTATTTTGAGTCTACAGGACTATATCTTCATATTTTTATATATTTCTCATTGTACCCATCAAACTGTGTGCTCACAGTAGCAAGTACTTTACCAGTGGAAACAGAAGAATACTGGATTGGGAGTCAGGATCTATTGGTCCTGACTATATCACTGTCTTTGGTAACTATACTGGATATCTTGTTTGCCCCTCCTTATTCACTCTTTACTTTGTTCTGTAAGCAAACCAGCAGCACAAAAGAGATAATACACTATTGGCTAAGTATGATTTATACCAGGAATGCAAGGCTGGTTCAACATCCAAAAATCAATCAATGTAATACACTATATTGATAGAATGAAGTACAAAAATCACATTATCATCTCAACAGAGAAGAAGTATTTAACAAAATCCCATACCCTATCATAATAAAAACACTCAACAAACTTGAAATAGAAGGGAACTTCCTCAACCTAATAAAGAGCATCTATAAAATACACACAACTAACCTTATACTTAATGTTTTCTACTTAAAATCAGGAACAAAATGAAATGTCTGCTCTCACCAATTGTACTCAGTGTTGTATTGGCAGTTCTAGCCAGAGCAGTTAGGCAAGAAAAAGAAATAGAAAGCATCCAACTTGGAAAAGAAGTAAAATGTTTCAGTTTACAGTTATGTGATATTTTATATAGAAAATTCTAAGCAATACACATAGAAAAAAATTAAATAAGTTCAGTAGGATGGCAGGGTATAAAATCAGTATACAAAATCAATTATATTGTTATACACTAGCAATTAATAATCCTAAAATGTGATTAGATAATTTCATTTTAGCAGCATCAAAAAGGATAAATGCTTAGGAATAAATTTAATCAAAGAAGTGTAAATGTGTAAACTACATTATTGAAAGAAATTTTAATAGATGTAACAAAGAAACAGAAAGACAACCCATGTTTATAGATTGAAAGACAATATTAAGATAACAATACTCTCCAGTTGATCTACAGATTCAATGTATATCCCTATCAAAATCCTAATGCCTTCTTTGCAGAAATTGGCAAGCTGATCCTAAAATTCATCTGGAAATACAAGGGACCCAGAATAGCCAATTAATCTTGAAGAAGAACAAAGTTGGGAGGACTCACATTTCTTAATTTCAAAACTTACTACAAAACTACAGTTAGTAGAGACAAGGTGGTACAGTGCAAAGATGAATACATAGCTCAAAGCAATAGAATTGAGAGTCCAGAAATAAATGCTTATAGTAAATTGATTTTTGACAAGGGTGCCAAGACAACTCACTGGGAAAAATATGATCTGTTTAACAAATAGTGCTGGGACAACTGGATATTAACATGCAAGAGAATGAAGATGGACCTTACATCATGTACAAAAATTAACTCAGATGAATCATAGACCTAAATAAAAGAGTTAAAACATAAAACTCTTAGAAGAAAACAGGAGTAAGTCTTGTGACCTTGGGCTAGGCAAAGCCTTAGACATATCAAAAGCACAAATGACAAAAGAAAAGGGCAAATTGGACTTTATCAAAATTGAAAACCTATGCTTCAAAGATAACATCAGGAAAGTGAAAAGACAACCACAGAAAGGGAGAAAATATTTGCAAATCATGTATCTGGTGGGTGCTTATAATATCAGCCAGAATATAAAAAGAATACTTAGAACTCAACAATAAAAAGACAATCCAATTTTAAAATGAGCAAAGGATTTGAATAGACATTTCTCCAAAGAAGGTATCCCATTGGCCAGCAAGCAGATGACAAGATGTCCATTAGTCATTAGGGAAATGGAAATCAAAACCCTAATGAGATAATATTTCACACCCACTAGGATGACTATAACCCAAAAGACTAACCATGCCAAGTGTTAGAAGTACGTGGAGCAACTGGAACCTTCATATACTGTTGGTGTGAATGTAAAATGGTGGAACTGCTTTGTAAAATAGCTGGGGAAGGGGTTCTCAAAATGTTAAACGTAAAGTTGCCGTATGACCCAGCAATGTTCTCCTAGATACATACTTACGAAAATTGAAAACATATCCACACAAAAACTTGTACATGAATGTTCATAACAACACTATTCATCTTTTGGAGTTAGAGAATAACCATTTTGCAGCCCCTAATGAAGTAGATCAAGACACCAATGCTAAAACCGTTAGGTAAAAGGTTGTTAAGGGGCTGAATAGACACATGGTTCCAAAATATCACCCTTTGGATTACTTGTTAGTCATAAACTTAATATTTTAATGTAGTTATCTGGTTGTTACCACCTTAGCCCAGTGATCAAATTTGTAATCAGTGGCAGATTATATACTGAAGGGCAGGATTTCAGGGGGAAAGAGATCATCCAGAGTGTGAACCTGTGTTAGGAAACTGCAGTTTGGAGGTCTCCAGCGTGCCTCAAGTAAGAGCTGAGTGTTGGACCACTGGAAAGCAGCTGTAACAAAGTGTGATGGGTAGCCACTAAGCACATAAGTGTGCACTACAAAGAGTACCAGCTCTTAGGGGACCAACCATCGCAGTTTGCTTGGGACTTTTCTAATTTTAGCACTGACAGTCCCATAGCCTAGAAAACTCCTCAGTGCCAGGCAAACGGAAAATTTGGTCACTCTACCAGCTCAGTAAAATTACCTGTATCTCTTTTCTCCAGTTCTCACCTCCCTGCTCCAGTCCTGGAAATCAGGAGGTGAGGAATTGAATAACAAGGAAAAATGGTAAAAGGAATGACACTTCTCTCCCCAGCAGTAACTAGTCTTTGAGCCAAGAAGGGGAGGGGCTTTAAATTGGACATGAGTTTGTTTTGTCGGTGATAAGAATGTTCCAAAATTGATTGTAGTGATGATTAAACAACTGTGTCAATATGCCAAGAATCATTGAATTGTATACTTAAAGTGGGTGAATTGTCTGTAACATATCTCAATAAAGATTTTAAAATGAATGTGAGAGAGTTTTGAATTAAATTAGATTAGCTTGGGCCTTATAATAGCTGAAAGAAACCAAAAAGCTAAAGGATCTGTCTGAGATGTGGTCAAGGGCAGGGAAGGTTTGGCATATAGCATGATGGAAGACAATGGTGGAAGCAAAGTATTGTTTCTTATTTGTTTTTAGTTTACATTTTTCAATAAACTGGCAACACTGGTTTGAATGGATTTCTGTGCACTGCAACCAAGAGTTTTGACTAAGGTACCTGAGGAATATTTATTTCATCCATTTCTGTATAGATGCTGAATTTTATCCTTGCATAAAATCACAAATAATTGTATATTTGGATTG